TCGACAGGCCATGGGCCAGGGCCACCGCCAAGGACGCCAACGAGTGCAAAGGTAAGAGACCTTCACGCGCGAAGGGGACCGCCCCGCCCCACCCCGCCCCGCCGTGGCCCGCCGTGGCCCGCGAACGCGGCTCGGCGGCGTGTGGCTGACAGCGGCATGGGCACCACGGCCACGCACGCACGCACGCCCCCTGCACTTACTCCATAGGTTAAAAAATAAAAGGGGTAGAGGGAGGGGGCACGTTTCCTTCTGGTAGAGACAGTCTTGGAGACTGTACAAAAACTAGAAAAAGTAACCCAGTAGCCCTGAAGTTTGATCGCGTCGTTCGAACGGCGGCGCATATTCCGTTCAGCTGTGTTCAGTCCCATATTATTCCCGTTTGATAGCAGATATTTGCGTTAAAACATCTTTGTACTTAAAATGTGACGGGCATAGCAGGTGGCTGATTAACCCCGCTCTCTTCTGTAGTTCTGTTGTACCGCATTCCTACGTGCGGGCGGATGGACTACTCATTCGGCCCTTAAGGCGCCGTGGACAGGGGCGATAGGCAAGCCCGCCGCAACTCGTGCGTTTGGTACAGTACAGCAAACCAGTGCGCGGGTGCGCGGGGTTAATCAGCCACCTGCTGCTACGTGTCGCTCGCCACACCTGAGATTTATCATTTGGAGCAGACCTCCTCATAAAAATAATGTATCACGAATCCGGCGTGATATAAATTTGATGTATATAGAGGGTGGTCCACAGACCCCTTCCTTCATTTTGCTTATACTATAGCGGATGCAGGCGTGCGGGCGGGTTGCATACTCGCACGGGGCTATAAAGCGCCGCGGTGAGCGACGGTATGCAAGCCTGCACGCACGCCTGCATGCGTTACGGTATAAGCAAAATAGAGGATAGTGTCTGTGGACCACCCTGTATACCTGCTGCTTTCAAGCCGGGGACAGGAAGTTCTGAAGAAGGCATTCATCGGCGCAGCTTTATTTTTGCAGGGGAGGGAAGCAGGTTGTGGCACATCCTGTGGGATGAAACACAGCTGTATATCACTAATTCAGAAAACGTAATATCTTGATTTTTGCGAGGAAAACTCTCGACAGTGGCCTCGAGGGGGGAAGCTTCCGCGAGGCGAGGGGAACAAAGGGACCAAAGAAAAGTCGCTCTCAAGAAACAAAGGAATAAAGACGGAATGTATAAAAAGGCTAAAAAGACTGCCACGAAAGAAAACTGTTTCATGAGGGCGGACTAGCAAACGAATTTAATTGTCTTTTAAAAAGTTTGCAAAGTGGAGATAAGGTGGTCTTGGCGTGGTTGCTCGTCACTCAGATATCTCACAGGCAAATGACCTAAGTTTCGATAAGGGCGAGAAGCAGCTTAATGTAATATTTGTCAGGTGGGTAACTGTGCCTCATTAGACTTCGGCTTTATAATTTCACTCAAGATCCAAAGCAAAAAAAAAAACAAAAAAAAAAACTTGTCTTTTTTTTTAATGTCCTTGTTTTCTGAAAAGTGAGGATTTTCACTGGTATGGGTTGGGGTAAACAGGGAAGAGCCAAAGTACTTGGAAACTGATTAGTTAGTTCTATTAGTAACTACCTGTGAGATACTTGATGGTGACGGTGGTTAGCTCCTGTTTAGCATTTAAACTTAGTGCTAGTTGCAAGATAAGTTGCCTACCTACAAGGCAGGTCAACAGTCAACCAAACGTGGAGTAATTTATCTGGTTGAGGCGGAAAACTAATGAAAGTACATTCATGAGGATTAGAATGGACACCATGCTAGATTGATGTTTATTTTTTCAAATTGATTTATAAATAAGCAATTTTGAAGTGATTGATCAGTGGTCTAGTCTAGTAGTGGTGTGTAGTAATACAATATTTAATCAAAAATATGAAACCTGAGCAGAGACAGAATAGTGATCAAGTCAGAAATTTCAAATCAGAAGCCACACACACTAATAGAGCAGGAATCTTTTACATTAAAAGCGTATTAATATGACCCTGAGAGAACTGCATGTCAAGCCACATGGACAGGGACAGGACAGCAAACCAACATTGTTGGGCTAATTCTAATTACTATAGCAAATTTTAAAAATACATGTACCTCTTATCAACTTTGCTGTTTCTGTTGTCAATAAGTCAATGACAGCTTAGGTAATTCTTTCCTAAAATTCTAGCAAAACATTAATTACAAGTTTCAGAGATTTGGAATGAAATACTCAGCTTTCCTATGATTTAGACATAATTATTAATAATCTATTAGGTACATCAGGTATTAGATTTGCTCTCACATCTGCTGCTACAAAATTTAGTTCAAATTGATTGAAATGATAAGATTTTAAGTTGGCAAGACCATATAACGAAAGGACTTAGTAGTGTCGGTGTCTCTTTCGCTCCGCTCTCAGCAAATATTGACTAGACTAACAAAGTAAAGTCGGAGTAAACTCGTCCACCACACCGCCGCCCGTTCCCCCCGGCCCCCATCCCATCCCCTTTTGTTCCCCCCTTTCAAACACAAAAAAAAACTTTCCTGCTTTATATAGTGTCTGCGTGCGACTTTTACTGGAACACCTTTTGCCTCATTGTTATTATGGTCGTAGCAAAAAGGAAAGGAATTTATACTTTTACTCTCTGCTACAGATAGAGCGCGTATTGACGCGTAGGTGCGTAAGGCCGTAAGTGAACGAATCTCTGGTCTGTTAGTGCACTTTTATGAATCACTGGTGCGCGACGCCAAGTGACGCACATGCGACCAAGTTACCATCACCAGACTTCGTGAGCATTTTCTCCTGTAAAAGTGAACGGAAAACTGTGACGTTCCCTTTGCTACCCGCGACGAAACGCAAACACCCCGTGGTCCCCCCGTTCCCGCCCCG